ATTCATTAAACAAAAACATATAATTCACATCTCAGTGTATACCTTCCAATTTCGTATATATGTATTTTTTTTAATAAATAAATGATAAAATTAATTTAATATAATTGAGCGAAATTACTGTATGTAAAAAATAAACAACATGAATTCAAATCACTCACTAAATAGTAGAAAAAGATATATATTTTGTTGGTAACACCTTCTAGATGAAAAAGCTTTTAATGTATTTCTATTTTTCTTGTAATAAAAATAAATGCTCCTGTAGGAAAAAATTAAATATATTGTTCTCTTCTATCATTTTTTAACATTTCTATTTCTTTTCGTTTCTTTTCTTAGATTTTTTCAAAAGAGACTGATTCATATTTTGAAAGTAAATCCAGAGAGGTATGGGTTAAGCCTTTACCTGTACTTACATAAAAATTTTTTTAGTAAAATTAAAAAATAATCCGTAAAATTGGTGTACTATGAAACCCTTGCATATAATATATATGCCAATCTTAGTAATACAGAAATAAATTACGTAAAAAATAAGGTGTACAAATACGTAAAATTTATTCATCCCTCGTAAAACATCAGTAAAATATATTATAAATTGTTTTCATTCACAAATATTAATTTCTTAAAAATCTAATAGAGGCGCCACTTTCCAGACGAAAAATCTTGCAATGTAAGGGTTTCGTAGTACCCCACTTTTAAAGTTTATTTTTGACTATTTTTAAAATAAAAAAATGTGTGTGTGTAGGTAAAGGTTAAATCTATGCTCCTCTGGAACCACTTTTTCAAAATTCAATTTAGTTTTTTCTAAAAAAAATTGAGAAAATGGGTAATACAAGTCGAGTTTTGTATTTTTTTTTAGAAAAAAACTGTTTTAAATTTTAAAAAAGTGTTTCCAGAGGAGCATAGATTTATCCTTTACCTACACGTACATATTTTTTTCTTTCAGAATAAGTCAAAAATAAACTTTAAAAGTGGGGTACTACGAAACCCTTGCATGCTCCGCTCTACAGCCAAGTAAATACTCCTCTTAAACGCAAGTAACGCGTAAACACAATAGCCACTTGACCACAGCATGATACGCACAAGTCCGACTGGTATTGACCAGCCCAGTGATCCGATTTTGAACGTTTCCCTACCCACTAGTTCAATATGCTGTTGTGTTTACGCGTAACTTGCGTTTAAGTTGAATATAGAGTTTACCCGCATAGTTACAAGAATAGGCCCCTGAACAAAATAGGCGGGTATACTGGAGACTGTTTCGACTGTCACAAGGAAGCATAAACAGCCAAATACTGTGCAACTGCGAGGCATTAGATTGCGAAAGGCAGACACTTTTGAACAACCATAGGTTGATCCAAGAACCTATAGAACACACCTTGTATAAATTTGTACAAGGGACTAAGGTGACAGAATGGGTACTATGAATTAATATGGGTCAGACTTCAGATAAGCACAATAAAAAAACCACTAGGTTGAAAATGAGTGGGATGATCTCATCGCCTTCCATTGTGACCAAGATGGATGTATTGTGGATCTAGTAACCACTAAGAATCACTTTGTCACTGATAAAACGGCGAACCAAAATTCACTCAATCTATTTTATCATTCTCTATTTTTTCTTTATCAATCTGAATTCATTTGTTGCCTTTGTCTTTTAAAAATTCGGCAATTCTCCAACGGACCGTTTTGTAGCAGTAATTAAGATATCATTTTTGTTCATTTCTTGCCAATATTACTCTGTACTAGAGATTTAAAATTAAGAGCATTATTCACGTAATGAAATTGATTCAAAAATAATCTGTATATACCATGGCTGAGTGCTTACCCCCTTACGAGTAAACCTGAAAGCAAAGCTTGTGTGGGAGGAACTGCAATTATCATTTGTATCATCGAAGCTCAGGTAATCATGCACAGGAATTTAGAGATCGACAGTAAAAAATCCGTAAATGTATGGATTACTTATTAGTTTATAAAGATGGACCTAAAATCATATATTGTATTGGGGAGGGCCGGCTATGATTATTGTTTGTATTGGCGCTCCTAGACGATTTACGGTTAACTGAGGGTACCATTTGTCTTGTAGTAATGAAACCCCGAAAAAATCTAGCCATCTTCATTGAAATCTGGATGTGGTATCAATAGGCCTTTTCATCATGTGATGAGCGCAAACGCAGCCGCCATGTTGAAATAGCGATAATTGAAAAGTTTCGTACCGTTTTGATCAAACAGTGGCTGGAAAAGCAATATTATCTCTACAGACAAATCAATCATTAGAAAAAATTATTGATGGTGATTTACATTTTTATAACTCTGTGGAAGCATATAGTTGTGAGCAATTGAAAAGGTGCTTGAAGTATAGTGGACGTTCGGAACTAGAAAAAAGTGTGCTGATTGAGAGGTTAGGTTTCAATACTTGTTTACTGTATAAAAAATTAATAAAAACAAATACACTTTAACATGAAAGTTAATCACGAGTATAATTAATAAGATTTATTTAATATTTTAAGGATCAACATGACATTTTTAATAATATTACTGTTTATACCAAAGTAGTATTTAATATTAAAAAAATATGTAATATTAGATAAGGATTTTCTTCTGTTGAACCACTTTCTCCATGAAAACGTAGTGAACAAATATAAGTACCTTTGTCACTTCGACCACAATTTTTTCACCCATAATGCTCATTTTGAACATGTTTTAATATGTATTTTGCCTAATGATTTGATTTTTTTACGATATTGTAGGCATGTCTTTGGAAAATTTATAAAATAATAATGTACTTTTTTTTTAAATTTATGGCCTTGGCATTGCCAATTGGCCAGAATAATGTACCTTTGAATAATTTATACCTTGTCACTTTTACATACTCCATAACAATACCGTTTCGTTTTTCTTTTCTGTACAGATAACAAAATTCATTGATTGCAAATGGTATATTATGCAACGATCATATGTAATATTGGTTATTAATACACGAGCATTAACCAGGATAAGAAACGAGCCGAATGCGAGTTTCGTATGGTTTATGCGAGTGTATTAATAACCATTACATGAGAATTGCATACGTTTTTTTACACCCGATAAATAATCAAGAACTATAAATATTATTGTTCCATCCAGCGTTCCAAACGTTACGGCTACCTCTAGGTGAGGAAATATATTCCCACCTCTATGAAACCATCGCCGTTCCGGCGTGGAAATGACATTCCACAACAGTGCTTTTCGCGTATTCGCAAATATTGACTTCGATCACTTGCATTCGAAAAATATTCACTTGAATATGCCACACCTTTGTTGTTTTACCATTTTTTATTGTATTAAGTTAAGTTGTGACTTAATAAAGTGTTTCTGTGAAGCTAATTATTATTAACCATCCTTATGCTACATTAATAGAAGTTTGCAATAACAAGGCAAATAACAATTATTATATTTATATTGAAAACAAATAACAGTAATTACTCGTATTTCTATAAAAAATACTACAAAATTGTAATTAATGGTATTACCATAGATTTTCGGGGCAAAATATTTTGGTAGTGCATTTTCTTATTTCTCCGATATGTGTGTGGAGGAGTCGATGGTGTCTTCTATATCGCTGATATCAGACATTTTGATAATATAATTATCGAAGTTTAGCTATCTACGGAAATTTAATACGTACTGATTTTGACAACTAAAACAATTACATAGGAACCTAGGACAAACGTCAAATGCACAGCATGCTTGATTGAAAAATTGTGGGTTTCTATTGATTAAAAATCTGTATCGTTATGAAAAATCTGTATCATAATGGGTATTCATTATGAAAGGATTATGGGCACAAAAGTTACATTATTATAATACGAGTGTAGAAAAAATGTATTTTTCAATTAAGACACTTATTTTACTTTCTTTTCCTTTTTTTAAATGAATATACTTAAATTAATATTTATCGATTATAATTTTTTTCACGTAGCCATTTTAACATGCTTGTTTACAAAAAACAGTACGAAAAAGATGGCTGATACTGAATCCGATTAAAAAAAAAAAAAAAAAAAAAAAATGGTGATGAAATGTAGTTTCATTATTTTCCTGCGTTAGTTAGTATAAAGTAAAGTGTGTAAATATGTTTAGTTTGGAAGGAAATTCGTAGGCAAATCTTTGATTCCACGTGGTTTGGATACCAAGTCAGTCATTTTTCAATTATTTTTTACATCGTGAGAGGTTTTCAATATTAAAATCATTGCAAAGAAGTATACTTTTCCCTAAGCTACTTTTAAAGTAATCTCGACATATACGGCATGAGAGAATGGCAACCCTATCTTGGAACATTCAATTATTAGGTGTAATAATTCTTTGAATTACTTTTGTCAAACAGTATAGTTCACACAAGGGATCGCACTTAAATGTCAATCGATCTGAAAGTCTGTGACCTTGAAAATTTAAAATATTTTACGCGGGTAAATGTAATCTAATATAACCTAGCTTTCTGATCATTTCTCTTTTTGGTACAAACATTTATTTACGATCTAATTTTGTTATAGATCTATATTTTTTAATACAAATTACTTCATGAAGGTCTGTGCAGTAAAAACTGCAAAAATACTAATAAAGTTACTAGAGGCATCGAGGTCAACATTATTTTAAAAACAAATTTTGTAATAACCACACTAATTTTGTCTTCAAGTTGTTTAAAATCTGAATATTTTTTACTTTTAGAGGTTATTTTTCTCATGTGTCAGCAACCAACGTGCCGATTGGTGGCCCCAGACTTGTCAAAAATACTCCAGACCAATAGGAAAGAGGTGCCGAGGTCATTCGAGATTTGAGCCTGAATTTAACATTGGAAGTATAGGGAATGACTGGCCTGTGCTTTTGTTGACGCTCGCTAGGACGCAACCCAATTTTGTATTCAGTTCAAACGAAAAAATTTCCCCTTTCATGATTTTCTCAAATACAACAAAGGATGGGGGAGATAATATTCGATTCTAGGATCAGCTACCGTTCAAAAAGGAATTTTTGTGTTACAGAAATTTTATTTAAAAATTAAATATATAATAATTTTAATAAAGAAGCTTATATTACAGTTGACAACAATTATACCATTTTATGAAGACTTCCAAATAAAATAATAATTGGTATGGCCTATGTAACAGAAGTTATCTACACTTTTCATGAATAAGTCTACAATCAGAAATTACATACCTACAAAAAAATCACATACAAATAACCAGTACACACCGTATAGGAAATTGACAAGAATAGATATAGCTTTCTTATCTTTGGTGTGATACGATTTTTCAAATAGAAATTTCAATTTATACAATTTAAATTTTAAGTAGACTTTTTCAAATTGAAATAACTCCAAAGATCTAGCATTTATAAATGCTTTTCTTTGTAAAGCTGTAGCCTCGGTGTAACATTTTGTTATTTTCCAAACGTTTCTTCATCCAAAAATTAGAAAATGTTACATAGAACTTATCTAAATTGTATAAATTGATTGTAATATTCGATTTTGCATTTTCTAACAGTCAATTTATTTATTTATTTAAAAATTGAAGAATGGTTAACTGTAGTACATTTTCTGTTAATGTTATATTATTTAATATAGCAAAACTTAAAACCACTGGATATTGCTTGAGATTGCAACTACAAAAAGATTTTAATATTATTTTTTGTACAAAAAAATGTTGATAATGGAGTTCAATTCAGTCAATAAGTTACTTCTGAATATCATTTGCTCACTCTACCATATTTAAAAGTTTAGGCAGTAAAAGATGGAGCAAAATTCAGTTGACTCTTTTTAAAATACATATTATTAGTTTTTATCCAATAAACTGAGCAAATAACATTTTGTTAAACTTTAGACTGAAAACTGAAAAAAAAAAAAAGGTAAATCATAAAGAAGTTTTTGGGTGGTAATTAATTTTTTTAGGAACTAACTAGATTAGCGCAATTTCAAGTGCCAGTAAGAAATGACAGTACCGGCCTAAAAATATAATAAATATATGAATTTGAAAAATCTTTTTATACTGATATCACAGCAGACCAGTCATGCTACATTTGTCTAACGAAAAACAGAAATATATTAGTTGTATATTTTAATACCGGAAAAGTAATCTAAAACAGAATTAACAATAAATATGCACCAGGTATATAAATACAATAAGTATTGTCTTCTTTTTAAGACAATACAATAAACATAAACTAAACCTTTCGTTAATTATATTTTCCATATATATATTCAATGTATCAAACGAAGAATATAATGTACAAAATCATAATGGACAGCGTACTAAGTGCACAGCAAATTAAAAAGTTGATATTCCGCATTGTCACAGCACAATTTCAGCTAATAGAGAAGTGTACAGGCTCTCAAAATACTTTAAATTACATAAAAGAAACTTAATTAGTCACAGTGAATTGGACAAGGCGGCACTACCTGCTGAAATCTGAAAAAAAAAAAAAAAAACAGTTTATTTAAAAAAATTCAAAATGGTGAGACAAGTAATTAATATTTTTGTGTAGCTGTGTTCTTTTTAAATAATGTAAAAATATTTATTATTGGAATTCACATAACAACAATACATAGGTATATTTGCTTTCAACGACCACGTTACAATAAAAGCAACTGTGGGAGATGATTGCACAATATTTTTCAGAACATTTCTAATAGCACATATTTAAAAACAACATATCTTTATTAAATTCCCAATGAAATACCTACATATACACGAAAAATACAAGTATCACAAATTGAAAACAATTTTTTTTATTGATCCTTTATGTACAGGACAAGTCAAACTATTTGAATACAAAAATAAAAATACAAACAAAACTTATAGCGGATTCGACTGGCTGCATTAAAGCGCATTTAGTTCGACTTTTTTAAGTGATGTTTGTTCGATTGGCAGAATCTAATTAATTAAAAGTCAATTATTGCATTCGACTGAAATTGCTCAGTACCAAGGCATAGTGAAATTTTTGTTCGACTGGCAGGCGCTCTTGCTCAAAGTTTGAATGTTTTTAAACTGTACTTTTTTTCAGTGCCAGTATCATATTGGAGGTTAGGATTTTTTAAATATCTTTAAATATATTACCATCTTTGTCTCTATTATTAGTGAGAATGGAAAATCTTTGAAATTAATAGAGATTTAATTTTTGGTTTGGCAACTACAAATAAATATCGTTAAAAGTTCGTTAGAAACCTGAAATGTCAAGTGCTAACTGTGCCAGTCGAATAAGGATAAAGATGCGCTACACCATTGTCGAACTCTAGCTCGTGCTTGCTGTGTGCACTGCTAGATATGAATTTGAATTATAAAATTGCTGCCCAAAATCAATTCAGAACTGAAAGCGCTTTGTCATCGAGCAAGAGCATTTAAGTCGAATCCGCTATTAACATAATTGACAATTTATACTACTACTATCTTTATAATATCATGAGAGAATTAATTATTCCATTTTTACTGCAACGATCATTGAAACATTACTATTTTTGGGTTAGTGTAGAGGTAAAACCTTGGGAAAATTTTGTACCCAAATAATACTTGTAGTACATAAAAAGTACACAAATGAAAATTATATATTAAAATTAGTTTTATGACTGAAAAGCAAGTATTCCTCAATAAACATTTTTTTTCATCAGGTTAGCATCGCTGGATTTTTGACAATCCTACACGATTAGTACAAAATAGTACATAAACAGTACACATACTACAGATTGCTCATTATTAATTCTACGTCCGACTGCATAAATTTTAATACACTAAGATTCCATTTATAGAATTTAATTTATTAGCCCATCATCTTAGAGAAGGTAAACCAGGAAGTGGAAAATATAATTGTTGGTTTACATAGATATAACTTTTTGCTATATCTGCAGCTCTTCAAATGTCCAGTCAACACTTTTTATCAATAAGTCCATTTGGTTTTTTAGTAAAAATATTTTTCTTGGTCTTTAGTTCTTTGTTTTGTTTCAATAGTCTCCGATATTTACTTTTATAAAAAATTAATTGCTTTACTTGTGTAAACATATTGGCCTTTTTTTATAATTTTAAAATCATCTTTAGCTTATATTTTTGCTCCCGGTTAATACTTCCAACGGCACTGTTTTCACTTTCAATTGTGCTGCTTTCATTAACCTCTAAATGTGTGGAGATTTTAGTATATTCTTATTAAATAATCATCCACTCTTGTTTTATTTTGTGTGAAACAAAATATTTCCCAAATGGAAAATCATGATAAATTAGGAGTATATCTGGGTTATCTAACACAGGGATTTATAAATATCTGGTCCGGCAATGACGTAACACTGTGAAACGTACACACTATATGGGATTGGCCAATCCTAATAGAGAAGTTAAATATCCTTAATTATACCTTCCTGTGTCCCGTAAAATATGTCTTATTAATGACAGCATGAGCAATTCGTATTGCGCGTCTGCTCACTAATGTCCTTTCAATCAGCTCTTGCAATTGCAGAAAATAGCGATGAACTAAAAATGCATTCTCGCTAGTCGAATTGCGACTGCAGTTCTGGGGAAAAAATGGCGGAAATAAGTGCTACCGACCAATTATGTTGTTATTTTTATTTTTGCGAAGACGATTTTACTACTAATAAAGTTCAAATTGTTATTTTCAACATTTTGTGGGTGCAGAATGAAACGGACAGGGATTTGTTAATTTTATTTCTTCATAATTGAGGTTATTTAACTAAGGACATTTAAAAACTACATATTATCTTGATACTTGTATACATCTACACCACTGACTAGAAAATGTAACAACAGCTGTATTTAGGACCAAATATCGCAATACCCTGTATAATGATTTTTTTTCCAATTGGCAGATTCAAGAAGAAATTCTACTCAAATTTTAATACATAGTATGTACGTATGTATATGTATACATATAGAAAGAGGCATTATAGAACAAATATCACAAACTTAAATAAGAAATAATTTTATTATTAGAATATCTCATGAACCATGGAATTGATATAAAGAAAATTTGTATTTCGGGCAATTTTTTTTTTTTTAAATAGCTAAGTGCTTTCGACATTAGCATATCTTCAGTGCTCATTGTCAAATATTAAAATACCCAACTTTCTAAATCACAATTTTTATTATTTGTTACTTCAAATTTGTTTAAAATATAAAGTTTTCAATATCATCTTTATTTATTTATTTATCAATGAGCAATTGCCCAATTAAAATACAGTTTAATAAAAGAGAAAATTTAAAACCTAACTTACACTTAGAGAATGTTAAAACAAAGAAATACAAATTAGCATAAAATTAACATAAACAAGAAAAAATTAAATTATCTAGACATCAAACTATCACATGCATAATTTAAGCTGGGATTTAAAGACTTTTTATTATCAAAGCAGTCCAATTTATCAGAATATTGATTAGCAAATCTACCCGATCTTGATAGAAAAGAATTATTTATGTCCATAGTTAGTACGATGATGTCCAATATTAGAGGGTTGAATAAGCCTTGTTTGTCTCAAAGGAACATGAATATTGATTTTTCCCATATTTGGCAATTTCTCATCGAGGCAAGGTGGTACCACCATATTTGGTACTAAGAATGGCCCTATAATTACATTTATTAATGGTGTAAATGTATACAAGTATCAACATTGTGTAGTTTTGTTTTTAAAAATGTCCTTAATTAAATAATCTTAATTATGATGCAATATAATTAACAAAATCCCATTCACTTCCATTCTGTATCCACAAAATGTTCTTTTCAAATATGAAAAACAAAAATTTAAATTCAGACATACAGGGTGCTGTTTTAAGCGGTTCCTGAAAAAAAAAAAACTAATTTGTTGGTTACATTTGGACCACGGCAGAGTTACGTCACTTTTGACAGATTGACTTAATGGTAACCGTTTTTTCAGAAATGTCAAGCAGAGTGGTTAGTTTTGGACTGAGTAACCAATACTTTGGTTAATATCAGACGATACCCTTAATTTACAAACTATCAAAGATGTTTATTTTGTTGCCATTAAATCTCATTTAAGACATGGAATATGTTTTTGGGGTTCATGCTCTCAGTAACTGTTTTATAGATCTTTGTGCTACAAAAGAGCCTTTGTTTCTACAACATAATATATTAACTTTGGTTTGAATTTATATTATAGAAATAGTATGTTTAATGCTTAAGAAATATTTGATATTTGTACCATGTCTGTTTGCAATACCCGTCGACTGTATTGTATCCCACTCCCCTTTAAGAATTATACATTGATAAAAAAATCCTTATTATATATTAACAAAAAAATGTTTAACCACTTGCCTTTAAGGGTCGATCTTTTCACCTATGAGTAAAGTTACATTTAGGTTTACTTGACAGATTAACAAACAATAGCCCTATAGTTTAATCAACAAGTCGTTACTTTCAACTTTACTCAGAGGTGAAAATACTGGCCCTTAATATAAGAAATATTTCTAATCAGGCCATATTCAGGCAAAGGGCAAAGTATCTTCTATTGGAGAAGGCATATTACACTCTTAAGAAGTTCTTTCAGTATTCATTTAATTGATTTGTGCATGTTTTCCTTTATTTGTACCTAAATGGTTTTATGTATTTTATATCTACTTTAATGACTGTAACACAATATGTGATGCAAATAATTGTAATACATATTTTATAGTTTTATAGACGTACTATCTGTATATAAACATTTTTTCTGTATTTTATGGTTTTAAGTGTTTTTTTTTTCTAGCTTTGTCAATAAGATTTACTTCTTCGACAATAAAGTATTTTTTGTATAGTCATTAATTTTACAAAAACAAACAACTTACCTGTATTTAGTGTAACATGCATTTTATTGCTAAGATTTGATTATTACTGACAACACTGCTTGCGTACGCCATCGGAATTCATAGTTGGTTTTACATCTATTGGTTCTACATTTTGTGGTCGGATTACATCACCTTCTGGTGGATCCCTTATTTGTTTTTGGGAAACAATTCTATAGATCTCTAAAAAAAAAATAAAATATTTTTTATTTCATGTATATCCAATTTTTAGACAAGAAAATCAAGATTATTTCGAATCCTAAAAATGCAATACAGAGATTCAGAATACCCCACTGTTATAATTATAAATGGACAACAAGAAACATTAATCAATGAACCTTAACTTGATATGTTAATGGGTTTCATAATAGTGGGCATTTTAACTTTTGAAAATAAGTAATGAAGCAATTAACAATTGGTTTTTGTAAGACCTTACAAAGTAACGCCTAGTCCATGGGATGTCAGTGTGGATTTTGATTCGTGACATGCTCTATAGAGCAAAAGTAAATGCATGAGATTTATAACAACTGGTTGGAAAACACGAGATTGGATAATTATTATAAAAGTTAAATTTTGAAAATTAAATAAATTGTTAAAATATTATATTTTATTACATGGTAGATAGATAATACTTTATCTATAACTACCATTGTATGGATGTATTATATATGTATCTAAGGCAACATAATACAATCCATATTTCACTAGAGAATATATTCATATTACACGGTATTTAACTATTATACCCAGTGTCAGATTGGTACCTCCAGGACCTACTGGTTCAGGAGGGAGAGTGGCCCTCTTATCTTTTTTTATGGTCCGATTCATTGAAGATCATCTTTGCACACTGATGCTTTTTCTGATATTACCACGTATTTTGATGGTTTCTTCGCATTTGATTCTTTGTTCTTCTCAAGGGTTCACTGCCTGAACGAAAGCCCACTGACTGAACAAAGGGATGCCAGTCGTTGGACCGGTAGACAGACGTCCCAAACCGACACTGATTATACCTGACTAGAATTAAAAATCATTAGATCTAGTACGCGTTTGTTAAGCTGACAGTTGTTCGTCGTTCCCAATTCTTTCTTAAAATCAAGCTTAAAATTAACAGTTTTAAGTGTTTATTAAGTGAAAAAATGGAAGAGGATGATAACATGGAACTAATATCTCCAAAAATCCGCGATTCCGCTCAAGTGGTGTCGTTGGAATTGCTACCTAAGACATCGATGAAAAATTATGAGAGTTCATACAACAAATTTATGTCGAGGAAACAAACAAAAAATGTATCCTATTTTTCCGAAGACACAGTGCTTGTGTATTTTACGGAAATTGAAACTAAATATAAATTGTCTAGTTTATGGACGCACTATGTCCACATTGATAAATATCCGAGATTACATGCTTTGTTGAAAAGGCGATCCGTAAATTACGAAACTAAGACTGACGACAAACGAATTATAAAGGAAACCCCAGATTTTAAATATCTTGGAAAAAAAGGTAAAATAAAGAATCGAACATCTAAATTAACTTAATCTACACACTTTTTTAAGGTTGCCATGATTATGGGGGTGATGGGGGCTTGCCGATCCTGTGAATTAAAGAATATAAAAATTGGGGATTTAAGATGTTTTAAAGGACGTTTTCAAGTAAACATGGCACGAATATGGATCAAAAGTGACCTCTCATGGGCTCTCTTTAATATTTTTTGAGTGACCCTCTATTCCCCACTGATGTTATAGAAAAATTATTTAATGTCAACAATTTAAAATTGAAGAATCGTTTATTTAAAATGTTTCTCAAATGAATGAAACAACTGATCCAACAGGAACATCTTAAGAGTATGTATGGACTTTCTCAACGAATTGTTTTTATTACAATAGGGATTCAAAATTACCTGTGAGTATATTCTGGAATGCCATATCGACATTGGTCGAATCTAGAGCGGAAGTTTCAATAAACGAGAGACCGTTTCTTTCGGCGAATGCCTTCGCCTCTTCGGTAAGCACCGCCCGCAAGTGCCTCAGATCGGATTTGTTACCCACCAACATGATGACGATGTTCTGGTCGGCGTGGTCGCGTAATTCGCGCAACCAACGTTCTACATTCTCGTACGTTAAATGTTTAGCGATGTCATACACGAGAAGAGCTCCTACCGCTCCACGATAGTAAGCTGCCGTGATTGCCCTGTATCTTTCCTGTCCCGCGGTATCCCATATTTGTGCTTTTATCGTTTTGCCATCCACCTAAAATAACATATTTCATTACACGTCTAGAAACTGGGCTTTTCTCGTGCGCGAGTGACATATTCTGTCATGCAACCACAGAAAAAGGATTTATGGACAAGTAATGAACGATATTTTTAGCTACACCTTTTTAACAAAAATGAAACACAATATGCAATTAATAATAATCAAAAAACGTTTACTGCAAAAATAAACATTTGTCTTAAACTATTTGTTATTGATTTTTTTCCTATGGTTACAAAGTAAAAAGAAAATATTATTTAATGTATGCAAATCATAAATATGTTGACAAATAAGGCCAAAAAATATCTATTTAAAAAAAGAAATTTTAAGGCTGAAATTAATAAGACAAATTATTAAACACATTTGAATCAATAGATCACATTTCATATTTTAGCTTGAAAAGGTTTGTTCGGTACAATTGTAACAAAAGCCGCGACTTTCTGTTCTCAAAAACATTACAGAAGGAGGATGTACTCAAAGAGGCGTAACAAAAATATATTGTTCAATTAAATTCTTTATTAAGCCATTTAAACAGTTATAATGTTTTTGGACACGTCAGAATTATAAAGATGTTTATGTATACAAAATAATGCAAACAAACATAGAAGAGACAAACTTAAAAAATGGAATGGGAAAAATATACATTTGTATAAATGTATTATCCAGAACATTAAAAATTACAAAAATTCTTTATTTTATTAATAAATATTAATCATTAAAATTAATATAACCTAAAATATTGTCATTCTATAAAAGTCAACGTAAACGCATGCAGTCCCTTAAAGTTTCGATATTGTTATTTCGCAAAATCTTTGGTATAGATGAGAATTAGTATTATGAAAGTTTACAAAAAAATTAGTGTCTTTATAAAAAAATAGATTAATTCTATTTAATTCTAATTTAATCTAAAAAACACATTTAGGACGAAACTCCAAATACAATTTTACATCACAACGATTCAGTACATTAGTATCAAATAAATAAACAAAAAAAAAACATTAAAGCAGTTTTTAGGTCTTTATACAGGGTATTTCAGGATAAAATACTGTAAACTGGGAGACTTTTAGATCTTAACTAATTATTAAGAAAAGATAAATACAATTTTCCAGTAAACGTCAGTTTTCATTCTACAAGGTGATAAACTAAATGTCTTAAAAACATCATTTTCTAAATATATTCCCTTACATTAAGACTTTAACTTAATATTATGTACGATAACCCATTGGCGTAGAATCAAGGGCTAAGAAAACAATTTTTATCCAAACTTTTTAACACCCTACATTTCATAAAAGATTAATAATTATTATTCCTCTTACAATTTGTAACAAGTGCTCTTGGTCGATATTTTTAAAACATTCCATTTCCGAGATTTTTCAGTTTTAGCCCTACTCATACATGAAAGCTATGTAGTTATATTATGAAATTCCAAAAATGCAATTTTTTATTAAGGGCTGATTTCATAATCAATATTAAAAAGTCATTTAACATGGAAACAACCAAGGTACTTGCGTTCCTCAAAACCCAAAACCAAGGGCTCCAAACAGAACAGTGGCAAGTCATTCACAGGCAAGTGGAAGACAACGGTCAAACCATTGTACTGTTGATTGACGACGACTCTCTGAAGGTTTTAGAAAACCGGCAGTTAAAACCCTATCTGGGCCTAACTCAGGCAATCTTCAGAGTGCAAAAGGAGAGGAAGGAAGAACCTTCAGATGCTCAGAATAGTGCAAGCTAATCTGAGACACTGCAAGGCCGCCTCCGCAACCCTTGCACGTACCATTATCAGGGAGGACATAGACATAGCCCTAATACAAGAACACTGGAGGCATGTGATGGGGCTCGGACAAACCAAGGGTACGTTAATATACAATACCCAATGTGGAAACACTAGGGCTTGTATATACATACGAAATGGTCTAGACATCCTCAACTTACATGATTTCTGTTTTAGAGACCTAGTAGCAGTTAGGATGGAAATAAACATAGCAGGCAACAAGATGCCACTCATTTTAACCTCTGTATACCTTCCCTATGACTCGCCCAGCCCTCCACCAACAGATGAGCTGAGGGATTTAGTAGATACCTGTCGGGCCGAAAACCTGCAGGTACTCATTGCTGCTGACACAAATTCACACCATATAACATGGGGCAGCAAGGACAACAAAAGAGGTGGGTCTTTACTTGAATTCATTCTAACCACTAACCTGGAAATATTGAATCGTGGAAACGAACCTACTTTTGTAACCAGTAGATGGAGCGAGGTTATTGCTATCACCCTTGGTTCTTCCTTCGTTTAAAATCACATTGGCAAGTGGTACGTGTCTAGAGAGCCTTCGCTCTCAGACCATCAGCATATTCTCATGGAAATCGACGACGTCGATAAACCAGGAGATGTATACAGAGACCCACATAAAACCGATTGGTTTGGATACAGAGTGGAGCTGGGGGCAGTGTTAAAAACCGTTAAAATAAATCTTAATACTAAAAATGATATAGATGAAGTTGCAGAACAACTACGGGACGCAATTATAACATTATATTACAATAACTGCTCGTTAAAGAACAGGAAAACCTCTAGGGAGGTGAGCTGGTGGAACACCGAACTCGCCAAACTCAGAAGGAAAACACATAAACTTTTTAATAAGGCTAAAAAGACGAATGAGTGGGGGGAATACACCGAAACACTCACAGAGTATAACAAAACTCTTAGGAAATCTAAGAGGGATTCATGGAGAACATTCTGTCAGGAAATTGAAAATACAACTGAAGGATGCAGACTCCACCGCATTCTAGCAAAAGATCCAATAAACCCTGTGGGGACTTTAAAAACCCAAACAGAGGAATACACTAAAACTGGAATGGAAACATTAGAACTACTTCTTAAAACTCATTTCCATGATTGCACAACAAACTCGAATGCAGCAAACCAAACCCACACGAACTGGAATTCTCAAAAAAGGGTCTCCAGCCAAGAGTGGGAAACTGCTAAACGGGTAGTTACAACAGAGAGAGTAACATGGGCAATACGCACCTTCAATTCATACAAATCACCGGGACCAGATGGTGTACTGCCTGTGCTTTTGCAACAGGCAATAGAAACGCTGGCCCCGCATATTTGTAGGCTCTACAGGGCAAGTTTGGTGCATAAACATGTACCAAATACCTAGAAACAAAGCAGAGTTGTCTTCATACCTAAACCGGGGCGTCCAACGTATGGCGTGGCAAAGGCCTATAGACCAATAACTCTGACGTCATTTCTATTGAAAGGATTGGAAAAACTGACTGATCAGCATGTCCGGCAAACCACTCTGATAGAGAGGCCATTTCATACAAACCAACATGCCTATCAGGAAAATCTTGTGAGTCTGCTCTGCATCATCTTGTAACCAAGATAGAGGGAGGACTCAGTAGCCAAGAAATAGTCCTAGGAGCATTTCTTGACATAGAAGGAGCTTTTGATAATACCTCCTTTAAATCAATGGTAGCTGCCGCTCGCAAACATGGAATAGAAGACACCATCTGCTGGTGGATAGAAGACATGTTATGCGGACGGCAAGTACAGGCACAAATGTTCAGTGAAACCATGCAGGTGAATATCCACAGGGGATACTCACAGGGTGGAGTCCTTTCTCCTCTACTGTGGAACCTAGTGGCAGACGAATTGCTGAAAACACTAAACAATCAACGGCTGTATGCCCAAGGATATGACGATGACATAGTCATCCTTATCCGAGTGAAACACCAAACCAGTCTTTGAACTCATGCAAAGAACTCTTAGGCTGACAGAAATGTGGTGCGTTAGGGAAAACCTCTTGGTAAACCCTGACAAGGCACAACTCATAACTTTTATTCGAAAAACAAAATTGGAGGTTTTAGAAACTCCGAGTCTGTTTGGAGGAAGGCTAAACAAAACGAACCAAGTAAAATATCTGGGTCTAATCCTAAATAGAAAACTTACTTGGAACCAACACGTACAAAAAGTGACCAACAAATGTAAAATGTCTCTCATTGTAGGGAGACGGGCATTTGGAAAAACATGGGGATTAAAACCAAAAATGGTCCACTGGCTATATTTGGCAATACCAAGACCCATGATAACTTATGGAGCGGTTGTTTGGTGGCCAAAAGTAAACCAGAAAACAGCCCTCAATACCCTCTCAGGAGTACAGAGGCTGGCATGCCTTTGTATTACAGGAGCACTGAGAAGTACACCGACAGCCTCTATGGAAATCATTCTAAACCTCCCACCCCTTGACTTAGTCATAAAGTGGGAGGCCAGAATGAGTGTATATAGACTGGAAATCTCCAACAACTGGAACCCACTGGGACATATAAAACATACCAGAATAACACATGAAGTAAATGATTCTATATTAAATACGGGATCAGATCACATGACACCCCTCCTAACCTTTAACAGACTCTTCCAGGTCAACTGTAACTGGAACGAGGTAAATAAGGAGATAGATAAATACTTGCTTAGCGGCCTCGTATGGTATACGGATGGATCTAAAACTAACAAGGGAACAGGCTCTGGCGTACATGGAGTTAAACCCAAATGCGATGCCACTGTATTTCAGACTGAAATACATGCAATCGAATTGTGTGTACGAGAGAATTTAAGAAGAAAATACAAAAAACAAACCATCCTAATTCTCTCAGATAGCCAGGCAGCTTTAAAGCCTCTTGATTCAAACATAATTAAGTCAAAGCTTGTCTGGAACTGCCTTGGAATACTAAATGATCTGGCAACCCACAACAAGGTAAAACTGGCGCGGCGTGGGTACCAGGGCACAAAGGTATCCAAGGAAATGAAAAGGCTGATGAACTCGCCAAAGAGGGATCAGATCTACCATTCACAGGACCCGAACCTGTATTTGGGATAAGCAAAACCTCTGCTCGACAGGCAGTGAACAGGTGGATAACCATAAAACACCAAATTCACTGGCAACAGATAAGAGGGCGCAGAATCAGTAAGCTAATGCTAAGTGGACCAA